CGTAAATTAGGTTTCCGTTAAAGTCGTTTTCCATTTTGCATATTCGACTTGTTCTATTTGCATTTTGCATATTTTAGTGTATTTAAATTTAGCATATTTCTGTTTTGCATATTCTACTTGTCATATTTACATTTTGCATATTCTATCTGTCGTATTTAAATTTACATATTCGATGTCATATTTACGTGTAGCATATTATATCTGTCATATTTCTGTTTTGCATATTATATTGGTCATATTTCTAGTTTCAATATTCTATTCATCACATTTGTTTTTGCATATTCCATTTGTCATTTTCCATTTGCATATTCTATTTGTCATTTTCCATTTGCATATTCTATTTGTCATTTTCCATTTGCATATTCTATTTGTCATATTCCATTTTGCATATTCTATTTGTCATTTTCCATTTGCATATTCTATTTGTCATTTTCCATTTGCATATTCTATTTGTCATTTTCCATTTGCATATTCTATTTGTCATTTTCCATTTGCATATTCTATTTGTCATTTTCCATTTGCATATTCTGTTTGTCATATTCCATTTTGCATATTCTATTTGTCATTTTCCATTTGCATATTCTATTTGTCATTTTCCATTTGCATATTCTATTTGTCATTTTCCATTTGCATATTCTGTTTGTCATATTCCATTTTGCATATTCTATTTGTCATTTTCCATTTGCATATTCTATTTGTCATTTTCCATTTGCATATTCTGTTTGTCATATTCCATTTTGCAAATTCTATTTGTCATTTTCCATTTGCATATTCTATTTGTCATTTTCCATTTGCATATTCTATTTGTCATTTTCCATTTGCATATTCTGTTTGTCATATTCCATTTTGCATATTCTATTTGTCATTTTCCATTTGCATATTCTATTTGTCATTTTCCATTTGCATATTCTATTTGTCATTTTCCATTTGCATATTCAATTTGTCATATTTTCGTTTTGCATATTCTGTTTGTCATATTTCCGCTTTGCATATTCTATTTGTCATTTCCATTTGCATATTATATTTGTCATATTCTATTTGTATATTCCATTTGCCATATTTACATTTTGGATATTCTATTTGTCATATTCCATTTGCATATTATATATTTTTTATATTCCATTTGCATATTCTGTTTGTCACATTTCTGTTTTGCATATTTCTTATGTAGCATTTAAACTTTACATATTTTATCTGGGGCATTTAAATGTATGTTTTGCATATTCTATTTGTCATATTTCTGTTTTGCATTATTCAGATTCATCATATTTCATATGTGTGAGCAGCGCAGTTCCTCCTCCTCCTCAGAGTAATGAGTGTCTGAACTCACGGCATCAGGCTCAGTTTTCCTCCAGACTTCACTCCTTCCCTCTTCTGAACGTAGTTTGCTGGAATCATTCCCTCGCGGCCAACCGCATTCTTCGCTTTATACCAGTTTGGGTCCTGAATCAAGCAAAATATCAATCAATCAAACAACCAGTAAATCAATTAATCAGCCGGCTAACCAACAAACCAATCAAAAAGCCAATCAGTAAATCAATATATCAATCAGCCGGCCAACAAACCAGCCGATTAACCAACCAATCAATTAATAAACTGGTAGGCTAACTAGTAAATCAATCAATCAGCCATCAAAAAATCCAACCAACCAACCAACCAACCAACCAACCAACCAACCAGTTAACCAGTAAATTAATCAATCAGCCAGCCAAACAGCCAATCAATCAACCAACCAATCAATAAACCATTGAATCAGCCAATCAAACAACCAACCAATGAACTGGTAGGCTAACTAGTAAATCAATCAATCAACCAGCCAACCATCCAGCTAATCAACCAACTAACCAACCAATAAGCTAACCAGTTAACCAGTAAATCAATCAATCAGCCAACGAACCAACCATCCAATCAACCAATCAGCCAGCCAGCCAAACAGCCAGCCATCCAGCCAAACAAATCAACCAATCAGCCAGCCAACCATCCAGCTAACCAACCAACCAACAAGCCAACCAGTTAACCAGTAAATCAATAAATCAGCCAAACAACCAAACAATTAATCAATAAAGGAATCAGTAAATGAATCAATGAATCAGCCGGCCAACCAACCAACCAATCAATAAACTGTTAGGCTGACTAATAAATCAATCAATC